CTCTTCTCCTCCTCCACTTCCTCCTTCTCTTTCTCTTCCTCCTCCTCTTCTCCTCCTCCACTTCCTCCTTCTCTTTCTCTTCCTCCTCCTCTTCTCCTCCTCCGCTTCCTCCTTCTCTGTCTCTTCCTCCTTCTCTTCCTCCTCCTCTTCCTCCTCCCCCCAAACCCCTCTCCCTTCCAGCACTGACGACGTTCCCTAGCTGGGTCGTGAAACGCCTGCAAGGAGGCCACCAACCTCAGGCAGCACCAAGGACCCCACAGTTCATTCCCGAGCTATGAATATCCCCTTTCGTGGGCGCCATTGATTCTAAGACTTAACAATTCATGTTTACGTAGATTAATAGTGGTAATTAATAGTAGGGATAGCCATTGACTAATAGCAACGGCAGCAGGAGAGGCCTGGCCTAGCAGAGAAGAGCGTTGCAGGGGCTGAAAGCGGGGGGAGGGTACCTCGTGGAAGGAGGCCACCATGCCGGACGTTTGGCTGGAGAGGCCAAAGCGCCTTTCGATGGTGGAAATGGAGCTTTTCATGTAGCCGGAGGTCATCAGTTGCGAGAGCTGAAGGAACCCGTGGCACAGAACGAAGAACTGCAAGGGAGAAAGGAGGGAGGGTCAAAACCTCTCCGGGACCCCCCGAGAAAACATACCCGCCGTTCAAAGAAGTGGCCCTCCATGCAGAGCCATTCGCTTACTGACGGCTTAAAGTTGCAACTGGACCATTTCCCCCCACCAGCGTGCCCGTGGCCACGTGATCAAAAAATTGGAGAGGGGCGCTGTTTGGGCATTCGGCCTATTTGAGAGGAGGGGCGGCCCAGCAATTCAGAGACCGAGGGGAGATTTTAAGAGGTCCTGGGTGATCTCTGAGCTTGGAGACGTTTCATGACCAAGCAAGGGACCATCATCAGTTTTGTAGCAGGGCAGTGCTAGGCAGCCTGGGTGATGTTACCTAATCTGGTAATGAAACGTCTGCAAGAAAACAATAGCAATAGCAATAGCAGTTAGACTTATATACCGCTTCATAGGGCTTTCAGCCCTCTCTAAGCAGTTTACAGAGTCAGCATATCGCCCCCAACAATCCGGGTCTTCATTTTACCCACCTCGGAA